GATTCTGCAATCTGTATACGGGGTAAAAATGGGAGTTCATAACCCACTTGAATCAAAGTGTGAAATATGATATGTCAAGAACTATGTAATGTTTTGAATAACTAACAATAAAAATTAAAAAATAAATAAATTAATTTAAAAAAAGACACAAAATCTTCACAAGATGTTTACTGGTTTATACATCCTCAGAATGATTTTAAATGTATATGTATAAAGCCATTCTTCTGTGTGCCTGTTGATGTTTTGTAGGTGTGAGATACTTTGTTCAACCCCACAGCTTGCATAAGGAATTTATCTTAATATTTGTGATATGATAGGATAAAATCTGATGAAGTTGAGCCCCATCTTATGGAGGCTATTTCATCTGTAAGTGAAGACTGCCTTTTCTCTTTCCTGAAGAAAAGTCTGACAGTCTTTTAAATGATGGACTAAGCTCTGCCCTTAAATTTATCTTCGGGAAGGTACTGGAAGGGCTGGGGATGTGCCTCAAGTGGTAGCTCGCCTGTCACGTGTGCGACCCGGGTTCGATCCTCAGCACCACATACAAACAATGATGTGTCCGCCGAAAACTAAAAAATAATTATTAAAAAAATTCTCTCTCTCTCTCTCTCTCTCTCTCTCTCTCTCTCTAAAAAAGAAGGTACTGGAAGAAGAGCAGAATATAAGAATTATTAACTATTATACCTTTTTGGGAGAAGAGCCACCTCAAAATCTTTCCAAATTAGCAGCTATAATTTTCTTTTAATTTCAAGTTTTCTTGGGATCATGAAATTAAAATATTCTATTCTTACATTTTTGTTTTTTGTTTTTTGAAATTTTTTGTAAGCCTTATCATCTTCCTGAAATCTCTTGACCCCAGTCCCTCAAAAGATCAACAGAGCAGGAGATATAGCTCACTGGTAGAGTGTCTGCTTAGCATGGTAGGCCTTGGGTTTGATCCCCAACACCAAAAGAGATAGAGAGAAAAGAGGGAATTTTTTTTTTTTTTTTTTTTTTTAAGAAAGTATAGTTAACTGGAGCTGGGGAATAGCTCAGTGGTAAAGCACTTGCCTAGCATGCACAAGGCCCTGGTCCTGGGTTTCAATCATCAGCCTCACAGAACAGTTTACTATGTTCTTTTCTTTGAAACAACCATGTTAGGGAGAGAAATTATTCCCTTTAGTTTGAATAGTAGTGCTTCTGAATTGCTTGGAAGTAGTTACATATGAATCTTTGTATAAACTTGTATCTCTCTCATTTAAAAGAAGAGATGAAGGAAAGGAATTAGCCCATTAATTATTTAAAATACTTGGTGCAACTATTCCTATGAATTAATCCAAGCACTTGGAAGACAATTACACTCAGTATTAATAACTTTGCCAACCTTTTCCAGTATGCTGCACTCCAAATACCATTGTGTTTTCATTGACAACATTCACTATTACATATGCATATGAAAAACAGGCATTTTCATCAGAATTACTGTAATAGTATTAAGAGATTATTATTTTTTCCAATTTGCTTGGAAAAAATTTACTTAAATTAGATTATTTATTACTTGACTGCTTTCCTATCTTGCCTGTATGTTTAAGTAACTGGAGTCCATAGAAGTATAAACTTCAGAATATAAAGCATGATTTTATACATTAATGATTTCAAATAAAAGAGGAGGGCTATTTTCCTGCATCACTTCTTTCAAGAAAGTTAAATCTGTGTTCTGCTTAGGAGAGATAACACTTTTTGTCCCTGTAGGTGGCCCCCCTGGTGTAGCCATTAGTTGCTAATTACTTGCAAACAAATAAACAATTAACTCCTTAAGCTGCTGGCTGGGCAAGAGTTCATTGACATGCTAAAACTTCTAAAACAAGATTTTAATTAGTGACGTTCTAAATCCAGCCCCCTTGTCAGCCGAGCTATAAATTGAGCTGCAGGAAGATTCCAGCCCTGTACGAGAGGGGCCAAGCCTTAAGAAAGGCCAGAGCTTTTGCTCTGTAGCCCGTGAGAGGATGTCTCCCAGCCTTCATGAAGGTGCTCAGCTTAGGGAAAGCAAACCCTCACCTTGTTCCTTTTCAATTGAGAGCATCTTAGGACTGGACCAGAAGAAAGATTGTGTTCCATCCATGAAACCTCACAGGCCCTGGGCAGACACCTGCAACTCCTCAGGTATGCTAGTACTTAATACTTAATTTCATTTGAGTTTTAGTTTGTCCTTTATTTCCCGCTGCATACAGTTAGAAACTATGATTTCACTCATGATATAGCTGAAGCATCTAGCGTTTGTAATGCTTCCATCTGAGTCCTATCGGAAATAAAAATGCCTTAGATCTTAGTGGGTATAAGTTCACTCACAGGCAATGCTAAAAGTCTGCATTTACTTCAGAAAATTTGTTTATTTGAATCATTAGATAGTCTATACCTATATACACTGAAAAATAAATAATAAAATACAAAATGCTTTCTGTCACCAAGGCAGGATCTTCATTCTGGCTTTTGAGTTAATGAAGGGGCAGTTCTTTTGTGAAACCCAGGATTCCACTAAGAAAATTAAAGACAAGTTACTGAAATTACTTCTTATAGAACTTTGTGGAATATAGTATTGGCCACATAAGATGGGATTTATTTTTCTGATTTTAGAGAAAGATGCTAACCTATGTCACGGCTCGAGTCTTCCTAATGGGATCTCATTTCCTTGTATGGTGGATCACCCAATGCCAGAAGAAAGAGCTTTGAAATATGAAAATTACTTTTCAGCCTCAGAAAGATTATCTTTGAAAAAAGAGTTGAGTTGGTATAGAGGCCGAAGACCTAGAACTGCTTTTACCCAAAACCAGGTGGGAAGTGTTTTCATCCATTAATGGTAATACAAAGCTTTAGTTGATGTTCCCTTGAGCAAAAGGCTATTCATTCACTTTGGGATCACAGTTTTAGAAGCCTTGTTAATGAAACAATAGACTATCATATTTTAACAGTTTCTGGATAATCGCTTTAAAAGCGGTATTTAAATTAGTTGCCCAAAGATTGAGGGCATTTATTTTGTTATACAAATTAAAAGCCCATTTTGGTGACTTATGGAATATCAACATTTTAAAGAATTTTTTTATTATTCTAGATTGAAGTATTGGAAAATGTCTTTAGAGTAAACTGCTATCCTGGAATTGATATCAGAGAAGACTTAGCTCAAAAATTGAACCTTGAAGAAGACAGAATCCAGGTAATTTTCAAATTTAGATGTTACTTGTGATGATTGAAATATTAATAATAATAAAATAATGTTTCTGAGACCCATCTTATTTTTCCTTAATTTTAGATTTGGTTCCAAAATCGGCGTGCAAAACTGAAGAGATCCCATAGAGAATCACAGTTTCTAATGGCGAAAAAAAATTTCAACACAAATATCCTGGAATAGGTAGAAAATTAAACATGTGAAATTATCTTCCAATTGCAGAGCATGAGAAATAAATGCAAATATCAAGTGTTAAAAATGTAATGTTTTTTTTCCTGCATTTAGTCTAAATATTATCCTTTTTTAAAAAATGTTTTGTAAATAATTATGATTATAGCATGGTACACATTATATTTGGACACTGTTGGTTACAATAAAGACCTTTCCTATATATTTTAATAAAAATTTTCAGAAAAGCTAGCTATTTTGTAAGTGAGCAAAGTTAATCTGATAAATTAGTATGCTAAAATCAGTAAACTCCTAATTCCACAAGCTGGATACCATTTACAGAGTATTTCAAGTAAAATAATCCAATCTACTTCAATTAGTTTTCTTCAAACACATTTGAAACATGATTATGCTTAACCATATTATAAAATATGATTTATTCATGAATCTTATGTGTGTCTTTTTTATTGGTGCATAATAATTTTACAGAATAATGGGTTTTATTATGGCATATTTGTATATGCACATAATTTGACCAATTTAATTCCCAGAATTTCTTCTTGCCCCTCCATTCCTCCCTTCCTCTAACTTCCTTTCTCTACCCTGCTGGTCTCCCTTCTATTTTTATGATATCCCTTTTCCTCTTTTTCTCTCTGTATCTTCCACATATGAAAGAAAACACAACCTTTGATTCTCTAAGTCTCACTCATTTCAGTTTCTCTTGATTTATAGATTCGGCAGTGAGAATTTCTCACCCTATATCAAAATAAATCCTTATAACATGCCAGGTGCTGCATTTTTAAAAAGGGAATCATTGTGTCAAAGCAGAGATATATAAAAGCATCAGCTGTCATATTCACACCATTGATAGTGCACTGAACAAAAGAATTAAGCTACAAATGCAAAATTTTCAAAGTCTTCTAGTTCATTTAATGTTGTGCTCTACGTTCATTCCTTTAAGTGACAGTGATTATCTGGCTTTTATCTATAGCCTATTAAATGATTTCCAGTCAGTTGTACATTTTGTTATAATGTTATATTGACTGAGAAGGTAGGATAACTGGCCTGCCTTTTGTATGTGCTGACATAGTCACTGAAAATAATCAGGGCACTTTCTAAATGAAAAAAAAAAAAACACTTTCTTTTCATTTCCCATTTTACCATTGTACTTGCCATTTAAAGATGGGGAGAGGAGATGTGTGACAAGAAGGGAATCCTCTTCCCTGGAAATCTGAGTGTTTGTTTTCTAGTTAATAGAAGACCTAAATGGGTGGGTGATTGTTGTTGGGGTTTTTGTTTTGTTTTAATATTAGCTTGAGGATTCCCACTCTGTCCAATGAAAGCCATTTTCAACTTTGTCTATTCAAATTGAATTCTCCCTTGTTTCCCTTTTCCTTCTTCCCCCAATGTCCTTCCTCTCTCCCAATGATGATCAGAGTGGAAAGTTCTTGTAGAATTATTGAATCTGTAACTATTATACATTTTTTTCTAGGATATGTAGAGATAGAGAAAGAGAGATATGGAGAGAGAGAGAGAGAAATGTATTTTTTTTTTAATTTGAGGAAGTTGTCTATTATGTCTGAGGAAAAGCAGCATGACCCCAATTTTAGAACTTTTAAAATCACTTATTAAGCACACATTTGGAGTACAGAGCTCTGTGTCCCAACAACTGGTCAGCAATAAACTGCTTATTCTGTTCTATTGTGAGACAGGGAAGGAGGAGGAAACGAAGAATAGCAGGGAGACAAGAGGTGTTACATATAAATATCTTCCAAGGTAGTCTGGGCCACTTTTTCCAATAGAAGGAGCTGTTTTCATTATTGGTATTAGAATTTTTCCTCAGGGAAACTTCTTTGATCCCCATTAGGTTCCAGTGAAATTTGATTAAGTTGGAATACTATAAATCACCAGGAGTAGGTCTTGGGGAAATGGGTTGGAGAGAAATGTGTCATGTAATATAAACTTTTATTTAATCCTTCAAATCACGTTTTATATACTGAAAACAATTTAAGCAATATAGAATCTCCCTCAAACCTCATCCTTCACATAACCATCATTAAATGTTTTCAAAGGTCTTTTTGTATATCATAAAAGCATCTATGTGTATATTTACACACACATTTGTTGTTTTTGCTGTTCTTTTTTTAGATGTGATCATACTTTACAATTTGTTCTGTATCTTTCTGATACCTTGCTATGTCAGTATTACAGCTTTTTCTCCTTAATATCTGAGGAGTTTAGAATAACATTTCAAATATTGCACAGAACAAGAAACTATTCCATGCTACATGTGGTGGTGCATGCCCAGGAGGAATGAGACAGGAGAATCAAGAGTTTAAAGCCAGCATCAGCAATGGTGAGACCCTGTCTCTAAATAAAACACAAAATAGGGCTTAGGATGTGGCTCAGTAGTCAAGTCCCCTGAGTTCAATCCCCAGTACCAAAAACAAAACAAAACTTTTTTTTTTTAAGTGCTTTTTATAAATTGGGATTTTCAAAGAGAAATTAGTTTGTGTAGGATCTGAAGAGTATAAGGATTCTGTATAAAACTATATAAAATCTAGAAGAAATGTAATAGTATTACACTGATCAACTAACACTTAATCATAAAATTTATCATATTTGTAAAAAGTCTGGTGACTAAAGAAACAGAGTAACTCCAGAATATTATTATCTCAGTATTTTCCAGCAACAATTTTATGTAACTGATTTGGGTAGTCCTAAAATTCAAGTCCATTTATTTATAAATAAAGTGTTTACTTATAGCTGAAATAAATTGTGTTTATAACTAAAGATATATATATAACTGAAATAACTTATAATAGCAATAACACCTTTATAACTGAAACATTTATTTAAAAGTAAGAAAAATGGGGCTGGGGATGTGGCTCAAGCGGTAGCGGCTCACCTGGCATGCGTGCGGCCCGGGTTCGATCCTTAGCACCACATACAAAAACAAAAGATGTTATGTCCGCCGAGAACTAAAAAATAAATATTAAAAAAAAACTCTCTTTAAAAAAAAATATATAAAATAAAAGTAAGAAAAAGTTAATGTAACACCAGAATTTATAATATTAAAGGAGTAACTATAAATGTAATGTGCACATCCTTTTATTTTTTCTAATACTAATAGTGGAATATCAGTTTTAGTTCAACTTTTATGAAGCAGATTCACCATATATAAGAATATTAAAGAAGCAAGATAATATATATAAGATCACTACTGTATTTCCCCTAAAATCATTTTCAAAAACCTAAAAGGGCTAGACAGAGTGATCCGCGCCTATAATTTCTGTGAGTAGGAACATTGAGGTAGAAGGATCACAAATTCAAAGCTAGCCTCAGCAATATATCAGGACCCTGGGCTGGGGATGGTAGCGCACTCACCTGGCATGCGCGAGGCACTGGGTTCGATTCTCGGCACCACATAAAAATAAAATAAAGATATTGTGTCCACTTAAAACTAAAAAATAAATATTAAATATATATCAGGACCCTGTCTCAAAATTCAATAATAAATGAATTATTAAAAATGAAAAAGAACTGGGGATATAGGTCAGTGATAAAGTGCCCCTGGATTCAATCCTCAGTATAAAAAAGCAAAACAAAATCCTATAAGTTAAGATTGATCTTATTAAAGGAGATAATGAATCAGTAACATTTTTTTGGAATTACAATTGGTAGTAATTTGGAAAGAATATGATATTCGGGGGAAAAACTGGACTTTAACTTTGATGAAATATCAAGCAAAATGAAAATGGAAATAAAAATCTAAGATAGAATTCTCTTTCCCTCAAAACCCACAGGCTCTAATCCATAGTTTATCTCTGCTCCTGGTAATTCCAGGCCTTTGTCTCCATTAATGCCCAGGACAAGGTGAATAGTAGTAACAAATCAAACTAATGCAGTCAGGCTAAGACCTAGAGCGTCTCTATTATCTGACAACTGCCTAAATGAGGTTATTTGGTCTCCTGTAATGGCATTTGTCTCTTGTGAAGCCAGCCAGACAAAGCCCATCACTAAAGAGTGCTGGAGGAAACAATGGCTGTGTGTGCTGGTGGTCAACTTTTGAGTTAATCAGTGTTAATAGCCGCTTTCAGGGCCTATATCTTATCACACATCACCCGAATGGCATAAATCTCCTATTACCAAACCCATCAACCTGGGTCTCATGCCAACCTCTAAGGGCAGGGAGCCCAAAGCCAGTCAGTTTACTTGATATAAAACCCATATCACTATGACAGATGATGACTTGCTATCTCCATTTCACTGAGCCCCACAGCAATAAAAACTCCTCTTTTGACTAAATTTAATGCTCATTTTTACTCTCCTTCCTTTTTGGGAACCCTCCCACAGCAAGCAGTCAAGGCAGCTGTTGTTGGTTCTCACTGCTCCATACCCTATTAGACTCACCCTCCCCATTTTCTTCCCTTATTATTCTGCTTCTTTTCCTCTTTGGAATTATTTATTATTTATTTCCTTGCAAGTATATTGTTATAAACAGGCTTTATTGAGTCCCGCAAATGATCCTCCAGTCAAAAAAAGTTTATGTTATGCCTTCTGTCTAGTGTAAAATCACCAATATTTAAGAACTTCATGTTTGTTCTCCTCCTCCAAGTATCTTACGGTGGTCTAGGAACCATCTGCTTTAGCATTTTATGACAAGGTAATTTCAGTAAAATAAATGAGAGCGTAACTTGTGTCCTATTATCCTATTTACCGCATCAAAAGCTTGTAAATAACCTGAGTAGCTGCTTCCCCTTTAGGTTGGTTTCCAAATGGAGAAACACTAAGAAGACCTAAATCAACCTGCAGTTTGGAGCCAAGCCCTGTGGAGCCTGGTTACACACTGCCAAACCCCTTCACTGACCCACTGACCTATGAGCAAGCTGAGTTTAAGGACTTAGAAAAACAGCATTGTTGCAGCTATTCAAGGTACTATACATAGTTTCTCTTATTAAAATTTCAGTTCTTTATATAGTAAACATTTGGTTACTATATTTTGACTCATGATCTATTTTTTTAAATATTTTTTAGTTGTAGATGGACACCATTCCTTTATTTTATTTACTTATTTTTATGTGGTGCTGA